TAGCAAATACGGTTAGACAAAATAGTCTGCAATTTAATATACTCACTTTGTCGCCTATGCGCTTAGTTTATAAGTCTATAAACACATCTTTCCTTGGCGGAATTAGTAACTAATTTTTTCGAATGCGTTTCTTCCCACCCACTTTCAAAATTCGGCGCGGGATCGGCGCCCCCTTTTCATTTTTGCGCCCCCCAAAAATTGCCAGCTGGGGGGGCCGTGGCCCCCCGGCCCCCCCTGCCAGCACGCCACTGCAGTGAAGTTCATGAACACCATCAACGATGGCTCTGGGTACGAGATTGTACCACCATGTGTAGATCATGAAATGGCCACCTATCACATCCCAGGATTTTAGAGTCTAAGCATGTTGAAACATATAGTACATTTCTAACCTATATTTTACATCATATATACTATATATATCATTAGTCTTGTTCAAACCTCATCATCATGGGATGTCCTGGGGCTGGGAAGTCAACTGTTGGTGTCATTGTTGCCGAGATGTTGGGAATGAAATATGTTGACTTTGACCTTGATGTTTTGGAAAATGTTTGGGGGATGAAGGTTGCTGATAAGGTATGTGTGCTATCACCATGTATGTATCATCACCGTTATATTTACCATTACCATCACAATTATCACCATCATTTTCATCACTCCAATTTACAATCCACCATCATCATCCAATCACCATCACCATCTGACCATCATCATCTGACCATCATTTCCACCATCATCATTACCACCATCATTCATCACCAACACCACCATCATCATCACCATTATCACCATCACCAATCCCACCACCACCATCATTTATCCCCCATTATCACCAGTATCATAATAATCACCACCATTATCAAAACCATCACCACTACCATCATCATTACCACCATCATTCATCACCAACACCACCATAATCATTCATCACCAACACCACCATCATCATTCATCACCAACACCACCATCATCATTCATCACCAACACCACCATCATCATTCATCACCAACACCACCATCATCATTCATCACCAACACCACCATCATCATTCATCACCAACACCACCATCATCATCATTCATCATAATCATTCATCATAATTACCATCATCACCAACATTCATCACCATCTAATGTGCTGTTACTACCATCACCATTACCTCCACAATTATTACCATCATCGTGTTCATCACCCAATCACCACCACTATCATCACCCAATCACCATCATCACTATCAGTCTATTATAGAGGTGTGCAAATCCGATCCGAATCCGATTCGTTCGGATTTCGCAACAAAAAAATACATTTCGGATCGGATTGATAAAGTTGTTTCGCAGTCGGATCGGACTTAGATATTCGAAATAAAATGAATTAATTATTCACGCATTATTGCAAGAATTAATTATCCATGCATTTATCAAAGCATTATAGCGGTTGTCGCCGCATTTTTCGTTTGATACTTCAATTGGACGTCACTTTGTCAGCTTCTTGACATGTATTTCTTGCTTTTATATTTATTTGGTTAAATATTTCAACTTGAATGAGCAATTTATTTTGTTAAAGGATTCTTCGGATCGGATCGGATTGGAATTCTTTATTACAACTCGGATCGGATTTTAAACATTAGCTAATTGTCGGATTATAAACGTCCAATCCGATCCGATGCACACCTCTAGTCTATCACCACCATCATCACCAACCATAATAATCTTTCTCTTCCAGTTAATCAGCCTGGGATCTAATCAATTTCTCGAAGCAGAAGCGGAAGAGTTCGTAAAATTCACCACCGCAAATTCCATCATCTCTCTAAGTGGATCCAACCCCATGCATCCAAAATTCAAACCCCACGCTCAGTCACTCGGCAAAGTTTTCTTCCTCGATGTTCCAAATGAAGACATATTGAAATATTTAAACAAGAAAACTATCGATGCAGCCAACTGCGTTGTTGGAAAACACGAAGGTGTGAAGGAATTATTTTATAATCATGGTCGGACAAGATCAATAAGAAATATCAATACGAGAGGACCCTTACTGTACCCCTAGGGAAAAAAGTTTACTACCGATAGAGCTACAGTATCCAGTATAAATAAAGTTAGTTTAGGTTTCCTCCTGTGGTAACACTGAATCATTAAGAAATGAGCCTTACTGGACCTCTAGGAAGAACAATTTAGAACTGATAGAGCTATCCAGTATAAATGAAGTTAGTTTAGTTTAGGTTTCCTCCTGTAGTAACACTGGATCAATAAGAGATGATCCTTACTGGACCTCTAGAACTGATAGAGCTATCCAGTATAAATAAAGTTAGACACAGTTTAAAATACTTCAAAGGCATAAACAAATTTATTTCGTTACCTCAGGCATGAGCTGGGCAGAAATTATCGACTACAGACAACAGTTTTATGTCCAAAATTATGACATCAGAATTCTATGCGAGAAAAGCGAAGCCCCGAAGTCAGTGGCAGAAAAAGTCGTTAGACGGTGGAACAGTTTAGAAAAAAATAAGTACTACCTCAGTACACGAAGCTTGGAATCTTCGAAGGTGGAAATGAAATCATTTTTGGATGTAGTTATTCAAGGATTGGCGTCAGATGGAGGATTATATGTTCCACAGGGAGAGAGGCCTTATTTTACTTTAGGTAATATAGTGTTTAGCTACTATGGACGACACTGGACCACCACGTTTGAGATATATTTTACAGATAGTTCAGACACAAACCACGACAGCTTATTGTAGAATACTACCTACACTGGACCACCACGTTTGAGATATCTTTTCAGGTAGTTCAGACACAAACCACGACAGCTTATTGTAGAATACTACCTACACTGGACCACCACGTTTGAGATATCTTTTTCAGGCAGTTCAGACACAAACCACGACAGCTTATTGTAGAATACTACCTACACTGGACCACCACGTTTGAGATATCTTTTTCAGGTAGTTCAGACACAAACCACGACAGCTTATTGTAGAATACTAGTCTACCTACACTGGACCACCACGTTTGAGATATCTTTTTCAGGTAGTTCAGACACAAACCACGACAGCTTATTGTAGAGTACTACCTACACTGGACCACCACGTTTGAGATATCTTTTTCAGGTAGTTCAGACACAAACCACGACAGCTTATTGTAGAATACTACCTACACTGGACCACTACGTTTGAGATATCTTTTTCAGGTAGTTCAGACACAAACCACGACAGCTTATTGTAGAATACTACCTACACTAGACCACCACGTTTGAGATATATTTTTCAGGTAGTTCAGACACAAACCACGACAGCTTATTGTAGAATACTACAGTACCTAGACCGGACCACTACGTTTCACATCTCAAACTCATTCTTAAAACATATTGCTCTTGAGGTCAATGGCAAAGACTTATCAGCCTACCGTATCAAGAACGCGCCGCGAGGATTTTAGAAACCTGGATCGACTCTGCTGAGCTACACCCGTCACGTGTTCATCACATGATCACGAAAGCGTATAGTACTTTCCAAGATAAAGACATTGCGCCAATCAAAAAGTTAAACAAGGGAGTCTACATTCAAGAACTGTTTCACGGCCCCACTGCTTCGTTCAAAGATCTTGCATTACAGCTCATGCCACAAATATTTGACGAAGCTGCAGCAAAAAGACAACAGGGGCAAGTGTTTTAACTACTTAATCCATGGTTACGAAACAATGTTTCCTGGTTTGTCCACCTTCGGGAAACATGGTCAGGAAACAATGTTTCCTGGTTTGTGCACCTTTGGGAAACATGGCTAGGAAACAATGTTTCCTGGTTTGTCCACCTTTGGGAAACATGGCTAGGAAACAATGTTTCCTGGTTGGTCCACCTTTGGGAAACATGGCTAGGAAACAATGTTTCCTGGTCTGTCCACCTTGGGGAAACATGGCTAGGAAACAGTGTTTCCTGGTTTGTCCACCTTCGGAAACCATGGCTAGGAAACGATGTTTCATGGTTTATCCACCTTTGCAAAACATGGCTGGGAAACAATGTTTCCGAACTTAAAGCTCTTTATTGTTTTAAAGTGTACACTGTACAACCATAATACTTTCACAACCGAAAAAAGTTTAATTTATCCCATTTAATAGGTTAGCAAATGAAACCAAGTACTTGGTGTTAGTGGCAACATCAGGCGACACAGGAAGTGCGGTGTTACACGGATTTCAAAATTGTGAAAACGTGGCAGTGATGGTGTTGTACCCCGATCAAGGAATCAGCCCAATTCAGCGACAACAAATGACAAGCACGGACGCCAGAAACGTCAAAGTCCTTGGCGTTCAGGCAGACTTCGATTTTTGTCAAACGACAGTGAAGCAGATATTTGTAGGTTAGTGTTATGTGGTGCGTAGCAGATACGGTCAGCCTGTTACACGCGTAAAAATGTCACATCTTGTAGCAAATCAGCCAACAAGCCGTCAACAAGTTGTGTTCGCACTGCTTGTCCCAAGTTGTCAACAAGTTTGGAACAAACTGTTAACAACTTGTAAAAAGCTTGTTGATATTATCAGACTTGTTACAAGGTTGTTCTAACAAGTCTGATACAGTCATGATATAACAAGAATATTACAACTTTGACGACACAAGGTTGTAACAATATTGTTATATCATGACTGTACAGGCGGAAAAATCTCACAGCTTGTATAGCAAGTCCAACAAGCCGTCAACAAGTTGTGTTCGCACTGCTTGTCCCAAGTTGTCAACAAGTTTGGAACAACTTGTTAACAACCTTGTTGATATTATCAGACTTGTTACAAGGTTGTTCCAACATGTCCGACACAGTCATGATATAACAATATTGTTACAACCTTATGTCGTCAACCTTGTAACATTTCAGCATCTTGATATTTACTCATCTCTACGTTATAGATGAAACATTCGGCTCGCATATCTGGGAAAAATATGGCTACAAATTCTCGGCTGCGAATTCCATCAACTGGGGACGATTATTACCGCAAGTGGTGCACCACGCTTCTGGGTATCTGGATTTGGTTAAACAAGGAGAGATTACTTTGGGTGAACCGATAGACGTCTGTCTTCCCACTGGAAATTTTGGAAACATCCTTGCAGCATTTTATGCTAAGGTGAATTACGATAGAATATTTGTTTGGCACAATTGGCGTTCCTTTACGGCTTTATCCGGTGAAAAGGAACATGCTTTAGGAACTTGAAACGTAATTATGTTTGTGATGTTACTCTGAGTGTATATCCACGCCGGGCAGGCTTGAAAAATATGCCTGGCCACGGTGGGAATCGAACCTACGACCTTTGGAATACTAGCCCAATGCTCTGCCAACTGAGCTACAGTACGCGGTCAGGTCAGTTCTAGTATGTGATATTTCGGAACTGAGTCCAGTTCCTTCGATATCAATGTAATCTAGTAATCATGCATGATTTTTTAACAAAATCTATTCGCAGGATATTTTCTTACATCTTGCAAGGAATTTTTGTCATCTTATACTGGAATGCCATGTTATTTATACTTTCTGCGAGTCGAGATTGTCCACCATAATCGTTCATTCCAGCTATCGATTAAATTTTGATCTCGGCAAGAAGAACAAAATCCATCACCACAGCTAGAAAGAGCATGTTAAAATTAGTAAAATTGCAAAGTTTGGTTGCGAAATGTTGTAAAATGTGGAAAATATAGCCCTACGAAATTTGCAAATTTTGT